CTATTCTATTCTATTCTATTCTATTCTATTCTATTCTATTCTATTCTCTATTCTGTTCTATTCTTTATTCCAATATTCTATTCTATTCTATTTCTATCCTCTACATTCTCTTCTCTTCTTTTATTTCTGCATTCTCTGTTCTGTTCTATTGCACTCTACTTTATTCTGTATTCTATTCTCTACCCTCTATTCTATTCTACCTGTATCTCCCCTCTGCGATTTTGATTTAGAATACAGGATCCGAGATTGTTGGGTTGTTGTTTTTTTATTCTCTTCTACATTTTGCACCGTTCTCTTCACTCCTTGCAGATTCCCACCAATGGAGGTTGGGGCCCCTGGGGGCCGTGGGGCGACTGTTCCCGCAGTTGTGGCGGTGGGGTTCAGTACTCGACCCGCGAATGCAACAAACCGGTTCCCCGAAACGGTGGCAAATACTGCGAGGGGAAGCGGACTCAATTCCGTTCTTGCAATGTGCAGGACTGCCCAGATGGAAACGGTAAGCTCAGATATTATCTATCTATCTATATCTATATCTCTATATCTATCTCTGCAAACTATCCTAAAAACACGAATCCCAGGTGTAGCTATAAAAGAAGATACACACATCATGATCTCCAGAAATTAAACTATATGATCCACTTAGCTTTCGTTAGCCTTTGCTAACATAGTCAGAGTGTAAAACTACCACTGAATTGATCAATGATGCATATAGGCGGGTATCTCTTCAATGGTAGTTTTACACTCTGACGATGTTGGCAGAGGCTAACAAAAACTAAGTGGATCATATAACTTCTGGAGATCGTGATGTCTGTCTCTTCTTTTATATCTATACATCTATCTACTGTATCTACTTCTATATCTCTACCATCTCTATATATATCATCTATCTATCTAAGCTATCTATATCTACTGTATATATAACTATATCTATTATCTCTATATCTATCATCTATCTAATCTATCTACTGTATATCTATATATCTGTATCTATATATCTAGCTCAATCTATTATATCTATATCTGTATATTGCCTCCACATCTATTATATATACCTCTATCATCTATCTATCTATCTATCTATCTATCTATCTATCTATCTATCTATCTATCTATCTATCTATC